TCCCTTGTCTCCCATTCAACTTTATTACAGGAGTGCTGTCCAGAGATTCAGGTCTCCACATGTCCAAGTATGCATTTGTCCTATAAAACATTCCCAGCAGTGGCATTTAATACTCATCTTTGTGGCAAAATGGATAGTTGGTGTTTTTTTCTGAGAACACAAGTGATACCCCCACTCCAACTCTGTATGTGAGAGTTTGGAATTCTTTCCTTATGTCTTTTCTGCAGAAACATCTAAGGGGAGCAATCATTCACTAACATTTGGCTGTTTCCAGGCAAGTTCTGCGTACATAACTACCTATGGAGATCAAAGCTTTTCCAAATAATAAGAAGTAAAGCAAGACCTTGAGAAATCTTTTACTGAAGCTGCTAACCCTGTCCCCTGGAGCAATGAGATTTGTTCTCTTTGCCAGGCAATCTCTACAGCACAGAAAACACGCTTCCGTCTACCACAAACACATTAGAAACATTTTGCTCTGCTAAGGGGCCTCATGTCCTTAATGAAAAATGCATAAATCTTTTCAAGAGATAAGACCAATAGGACAGGTGGATGTTATCAGAAGCAGAGACTCAGCACTCACCAGCGGAATGTACCTGCAGCAAGTAGATATTCAAAACTCACCTGGATGCAGTCCTGTGTAATGTGCTGTAACAGGTGATCCTATTTAGTGAGGGAGTTGGACTAGAGGGTCTCTAGAGGGCTCTTCTAACTCTGACAGTTCCTTGATTCTGTGATTCTGTATTACGACGGGCTGTGTAACACCCTGGGAACTCCCCATAACATACCCTGTTACTGGAAAACATCTGCAGCACCAGAAAGTTTCTCAACAGAGTCAGCTGCTTGACAAGGTCTAGATTCATCTTACTTGCCAGCAGAGGTAAAAAACCCAGCTATATAGTCTGAGCTAATTTTCTAGGTTTTCTAATAATAATATTAGACATATTTGCTTTGGATAGAGTGTAAATTTTGTAACAATCTGCATTCTCATTATTTCAGTTGAATGCATAATATATATCACAGCACCTTAGCATTTCTCATGGAAATCATGGAAGCACAAATTTCACAGTACTTGTGTTTTCAATATGAAGTGTGTTTATTCAATAAAAGGCTCTTAAACTCACATAAAAATATTAAAAGTCCTTATCATAGAAGGAGGAAAAAAAGTTCACATTTATTAAGTGTGAATTTTCCTTCATTTTTACCAGGATATATGTGGACTTGAATTCTATAATTCAGAAACTGATTACTTAGCTCAAAAGGGAAAGCTTAAAATCACAGAACCATAGAATGGTTAAGGTTGGAAGGGACCTGAAAGATCATAAGGTTCCAACCTCCCTTCTATGAGCAGGGACACCTCACACTAGACCGGGCTACACAAAGCCTCATCCAGCCTGACCTGAAACACCTCCAGGGAGGGGGCATTAGCTTCCATGTCTAATCTAAACCTGCAAGATCTTGTTGGGGCTCAGTTTATGGCTAGTTCAGGAGAGCAATGGAAGTAGAAAATTGTAAGGTTTTTAATGATGACCTCTGACATTCAGGTAGATTATGCTCCCTGAGAGGAGACAAGGTCATTATTTTATGCTTTAAGCCACTTAAAAATAGGCATCTCTAGATGCTTATTAATAAAGATAATTCCAATTTAGGATACTATTTTGTAGGCAACATGTACAATTTTTAGAGGCTCTTAACAATTTTTATATTAAAGGCAGGCAGCCTTTAAATGTGTGCAGTGAAAGTGTTTTCTGAGGTTCCATCCCTTGCTAAATTCTGTCTCTCATTCAAAATGTGGTAATAAAATATTATCCTATGTGAACATGGTAACAGCAGCATATTTATTTTTACATTCTTTAAATTATCTCAGTCTTTGTTTCATATTGGCACAAGCCTTTTATATTGACTTACCAAGATTCAAAGCATAGCTGAGCGATCTTCTTGACATAGGCTGTGTTTAGAATGGATCTTCCTGTTGAGTTTTGGGGTTTTTTTTGGTTGTTGTGTTTTGGTGTTGGTTTTTTTCCTTCCCTGTTCTGATGCAGTATGATATGAGTGTGTCCTGAACATAGCTTTGAGATTTAGAGCTTTCCTGACAGCTTTTCAGATCCTTGATCTCCATATCCTTCATTCGAAGGAACCTAATGGAACTGAGCCTGCATCCTGCTGATAGATGTTTTTTCAATTTGCTTTTAGATGTGCTTCATCTTTCCTTTTCATTCACTGACCCAGGTATCTGCCAAAAATATGTGTGATACACCCCATTGTATTTCATGCTTTTGTACTGGAGAATGTTGTTGTAGTATATTTGTTAGTTTTGCTCCCTTCCTCATTCCTTATTTCATACTGCAGGGAACACTTTAACCTATTACAGCCACATAAAAAAAAATTGACCAGAGCCTCCTTCCCAGCTTTTATTACCTTTGCTAATGTTACTGTGTAATTTAGAACCACACTCCTCTCCTCTGCTTGAGATAATAACTTGAAAGGGTTCCATTAGCAAATTTAGTAATGTATTTGGATTATTCTGAAAGCATATCTACTTTTTAATAGCATGCTTCTTTCTTCTGTTACCACAATTTCATGTATAAGCTTTGGCTGGAGGTGTGATTTCTTCCTATTTACTGTCTTAAAAAGCTGTGCAACGTAAATTCAACTTCAGAAGGAAAAGTACAGCAATGATAAGTCAACCTAGAAATAGAGAAAATTTTTCTAAGGGTCAGTTTAAAGTAAGTCTTAAAAAACTTTCCACTTTCAAGAAGTGGATGTAGCCTAAGTTGTGATAATTTTGTGAATTTTACTTTTGCCATGCAAGTAGACATAATTTAAATCTTTCTAGACACAAGATTTCCCCAGAATTACTTATACAACAGTAATTGATAATTATTTCAATGTTCTTTGAAAGTTATGCCTCAAAGACACTAAGAAAACATTTGTAATTAATTACCAATGTGCCATCTAGAGCTTTATGGGAGAAATAGCACACTGTGGGTTTTTATTTTCCCCATTCTATTTTCATTCCCATATACAGCTTTGATTTAGTTACATTGAAAATTGTCTAAATGCTGATGCTGGAATGACTGTGTATGCCTTACTACCTGTAAATGACAAGACATTCTTCCTGTTGGATCAACAGTAGTGAGGAAAATTCATTTTCTTATGTGTATATGTGTTGCATAGTGGAAAAAAGAAATAAAAATGGTAACTTTACATGTATAACATAAATAGTACCTAAACAAAGAACATGCTTTACGCAGCTTCAAAAATCTGAATTTTGAAGTTACCTAAAATATATAGTTCAATTTTACAGAGTCTTTCCTATTCTGTCATTGAAAGGCTGTGGGGAAAAGGGAAAGGGGCACTAGGAAATGTAGTGTATGTGGTTGCAGTGTCGCACACAAGAAGGGATTTAGTTAACGTTGCAAAGAACAGGAAATGCCAGATACAAAGATTTTCAGATATATCATTTTTTCAAGTCTAATAGAATCCTCCTTATTTTCCACTACTTTTCTGATTTTCTTTAAGGAAAAAAGGTCAAACTAGTTATTCTGTATATGAAAGTAAACTTTCCTTTTTCAAACCCTTGGGGAAGTTTTTAAAGAATTACAGAAATAATGATTCAGAAGAACTATTAGTTACTTCACCTCTGTCTATCACAGGCCAATGCATTTCATTTAAATATGCCTGTATTGAATCTAGTAACTTGAATTTAACTGAAGCCCACACTTTTCAAAGCAGCAGACATTGATTTGGAGACATCAAAAGATGGAAAAAATTACTCCTTTCTTGTGTAATTTGTTCCCAATAATAATCACCTTTGCTGTTAGGTAAAATCCATCACTGTTTCTCATCTGAGTTTGTCTGGCTTTGACTTTTACCTGTTTGTCCTTGTTACGCTTTTCTTTGCAGTCTGAAAGAGCTCTTCAGTACCTGCTGTTCTCCCTCTGTAGAGGTCTTCAGACATTGTAATCAAGTTGCCTCTTAGTGTTGTTTTTGATAAACTGAATGGGCTGAGCTCTTTTAAATTACTTGCAGTAAGAGTTTTCTCCATTCTTTTCACTTATTTTTGTGGAGCTTTTAGTGCACCCTGTCCAACTTTTCATGGTCTTTTTTCTTCTGCCATATGAACAAAACAACAATTCCAAATATCATCAGTGATGTCCATAGCAGTAAAATCACCTTTCTACTACTCCTTCTCAGACGCTTAATGGAAATTAGTTCAGTGTAGCACAGATTTACAATCTGAGTCTTTAGTGAATTTTTGTTCAGTCTTTCAACTGGGGTACAATTAGAGCTGCTTCTTATTTTTTATTATTTTTATTTTATTTTATTTTACCAGAAGGGGTGTTCCTAGTCTGTTAATGTGTCTTTTACTTGTTCTTCCTACCTACATAGTTTCATATTTGTATTGGAACAGTGTCTTATAGTCTATAATGTGACCTAAAGGACAGATGTTTATTCTTCTGTGTAGGCTGAGGTTCTTACCAGCTAGACAAAACAAGTGCTTAATTTTGATGAAATTAAAGGATGCAGAAAAAAATATTGCTATGATCATTTCCACACACAACCCCCCTGCCCCCTCCCACTCCCCGTGTGGTTTCCTCCTTAAGCACTAGACATCTTTTTCATTAGCACAAAAGAGAGGACTGGGAAAAGCTGAAGATAAGAAAGAAGGAGAATTTGGAAGTGATGGAGCAAAGAGGGGAAATGACTAAAATCTGTATTAGCTGGCATTGTTGCAGTGAATTAAAGGAAGATTAAATGTATTTATATCTGTGTTTTTGCCCATAGTAAATAGTTCTAAATGCTAATGCAGATGCTAAGAGACTGAGTCCAACGTGTTTGGTATTATCCCCGGGGTCTTGCATTGGTGTGCACTTCTGTAATGAATTAGAAATGCCAGAAAAACACCCAGCTATGATGAAGCTTGATGGAGAAAATGTTATATATCCGAATGTGCATAATCATATTTTGAAATACTAAAGCCTTACTTTTTTGTTCTTCAGATACACAAAGATGAAGACAGCAACCAACATCTACATTTTCAATCTAGCCATGGCAGATGCACTAGTTACCACGACTATGCCTTTCCAAAGCACTGAGTACCTGATGAACTCGTGGCCCTTTGGTGATGTGCTGTGTAAAATAGTTATTTCCATTGACTATTACAACATGTTTACCAGCATATTCACACTGACCATGATGAGTGTTGATCGATACATTGCTGTGTGTCACCCTGTGAAGGCACTGGACTTCCGTACACCTCTCAAAGCGAAGATAATCAACATCTGTATTTGGCTACTGTCCTCATCTTTTGGCATATCTGCCATAGTTCTTGGGGGTACCAAAGTCAGGGAAGGTGAGTGTGAGTATTTAAAATTCAGTTGTTTTTTTTTTTTTTTCTTGAATGACATAAAATGGAGTTTTGAATACTGAGTAAACCTGACTGATTCCTTTTTCAGAACTTATGTCTATATTTCTGACATTTTGAAATATATTGTGGAACATGACAGTAAGACATATAAATAATTTAAGTTCAGATGACCTGGCCAACTAAATAATCCTAAAATGTGCTTTGAAGCAGTGTCTGTGCTAGAGTGAAACCATCAAAAACTACTAGCAGACAGTGGGGGAAAATGATCACGAACTTTTTCATGGTGGACAGATCAAAGCTCAGTTTAGGATGAAACTTGAAATGTGGGCTTAAGATGCTTTTTTTAGATGTTGTGAGAGCAGTTTTGATGACTTTTTTTAAGAGCAGAAACTAGATTGCTTTGCATTAGTATTAGTATTAAAACTACCATTAGTATTAGGATCTGGCAACTTATCATCAGCAGCCATTGCACAGAACTTGAAGGCGTGGTGAAGACAGGAAACGACAGTAGCTGGAGAGAGAAATTAAAACTAAATTATATGTAACAGCATCTCAAATTCTGGTTTAAAGAGGTATGGGGATGTATATGGAGACTTGGAAAAGTTGAAAATAAGGATCAGCAGAGGAGCTGGGAATACAGACTATGGCAGGGAAACAACTACAAGAACATGAATTCAAAGAGATCTGTATGCAGACCACCTATAGGGTCTGCTTGAAAATTATAATCCATGAAGTAGTGTGGACTTAGCCTTATAACTGGTGACTCATTGCCAAAACTGCCATGCTATGGGGTTAATCTTATTTTGATATCTTCCTTGAGAAGGAAAGGGGAGAAGCATTCTCACATACATATACTTCCTACCCACAGGCATGACTGCAGTGCAGGAGCACCTCAGTGTCTTCAAAGGGCTTGAGGCCTCTAACAATGTCCTTGGGCTGGGGCCTTCGTGTTACATGGATGGCTCGATAAAATACAAGGCGTGCATAGTTATTTGGTCTTGTTTGATATATAAATTTTAGTCTTGTTTGATATATAAATAATCTTTTGAAAAACAATAATTTTCTGAACTAATTAGAAAAGTTTCCCTCCTCTCAAAGAAATGGTGAACTTTACATAAGGATACTGTTTTGTCTGGCAGATACAATAAATGTTATGTGTTGAACCGTTTGGCAGAGATCAATGCAAACAAAACATTTCAGTAACAGCTGCACAAGGGCTGATTTATTTTACTGAAGAGTATAGATTTTGTTCTTGCTGTTGGTCTTCTGGTGGGTAAGTGACAGAAGAGTCTTCTGGAAACTCCTCTTTCAGCCCTTTAGGGGATAAAGTATCCCGGTCCTGGTCTGCAATGCTGTAACCCTTCTCCCCAGAAAATTTTTAACCTGCTCTATAAAACAATATCTAACTCAGGAAACCTTAGCTTCCATGCATCTTGATTTGGAAAGAATGATTATCCCACCACATATGGGATCTTGAAGGCCATGGGACATTGGCTGGGTCAGGCGTTTTGTTGGACTGTGCTGAACTAGCAGAATATTCCTGTTATTCACTGTAAGCATCACATTTAGATCAAGGGGCTGCTCTCAGGCCAGCAATGATGAAACACCTTTTCCACAGTACGTGGCAGGTAGCCTTTTTTTTTATTCCTGAAGGCAGAGACCAGCAATCCCCAGCTCAGCTAGGCCAAGTAGTGCGGAAAATTGTCAGCAAATGCTTGTCAGCCCCTACTGTTCTTTCCTGCTTGTCTGATCTAAGGTCTCTCTTGAGCATTTGCTGACATTTATCTTGTCTGGTGTGTTCAAGAATTATGTTGATAAATCTGAAGTGGAAAAGCAGGGATCTTCCCTTTGCCAGACAGCTGGATCTCAGGACTGAAACTTTATGTTATGTTGGTCAAAAGAGGTTTTATTTATTTGCTAGAAAGCCTCTGTTGGATTCGGGTTTGAACAACAGCTGAACTTGAAGTGGAAAGTGATTATATTTAAAGTTCCCACCCTGTGCTTGGTTAGTCCCTTTGGTTCTCACAGTACATGATTCCCAGTAGGATCTTTCTGGATACATTGGAGAATTGGGCCTGTTCAGCCCAGAGAAGTGAAGGCTCCAGAGGGACCTTATAGTGGCCTTCCAGTACTTGAAAGGGGACCTGCAGGAAAGCTGGGGAGGGGCTTTTCACTAGACAAGATAGTGATAGGACAAGGGGTAATGGTTTTAAACTGAGAAAGGGGAGATTTAGGTTAGATATTAGGAAGAAATTCTTCACTATAAGGGTGGTGAGGAACTGGAATGGGTTGCCCAGAGAGGTTGTTCCCCCATCCCTGGAGGTTTTTAAGGCCAGGTTGGACGAGGTTTTGTGCAGCCTGGTCTAGTGGTGGGAATCCCTGCTCAATGATTCTAAGATTTTCCCTGCAGAGTAAATTATCCATCTGTGTAAATATTCCCTATCTGGCCTTAATGGAGGCTTTCTTGCTGAAGAATTGTTCACTTAAAAAAATAAAATTAGAGGTTCTACTCGTGTTTCCAGTAATAGTATAAAGGCTCCATTTGAGTACAGAGGAGTATGGATGTCTGAAGGTGAAATAATTAATAATGTATCTAAACAGAAATATATTTCCTGTGTCAAGATTAAGATTAATATTAAATGGTAGCTTATCAAACACATTTTAAAATATATTTACATTAAAATGCCATCTAGAATGCACTGTTTTTCCTTAAATATATCCACGTATTTTGAATATTTGGCTTTCAGAGTGGGAAAAGCCAGTATGAAATTTCAAGTACTCTGTTTGTGACACTGCACTTAGTTCTGCATGTTTTAAGACAACAAAAATAAAATCTAAATTGAATTTTAATATCTTCCAAAGTTCCTGAAAATTATTACCATGTTCTCCATTATATTCAGGACCTTTGAGGATTGTTTGCAAGTTGTAAACTGGGAAAATATAAATAAGTTCCACACAATTCATAGCATTATATATATATCTAGTGAGACACACAAATATTAAAGAATTTAGAATAAGATTTTCCATCAAAAGTAAACTGTGGTGAGATGTAAGACAATAAAGAAATTTCAATTCAATATTTTCAATTTCAGTTCAAATTCAATAATTTAGAAGTCTAAAACATCATTGCTGTCTGCAAATTATATTAAAATGTAGCAAGTATGACTGAATGAGTTTAATAAATATATGAAATCATGTCAGTAGATCTGAAGAGGCAGTTTCCTCAGGGAGGGGGTTTCTGTGAGCAGATGACTATGTTCCAGAGCAGTCATCTGTGATCACACCTCACTTTTGACCAGCACTGAACAACTGGATGCAGCTTCAATAGTCTAGATAATATAGCTGCATCCTGATTTTATTGCTGCTGCTAGGCCATGTTCTGCTACAAATATCAGTAATAATCAATGTGAAAAATTATTTGAAGATGATTGTTGACATCTCTAGAATAAAACTGAGTAAAAGCGACTACACTTACGAAAACCTAGATCACAAAAGACTTAGGAAAGTTGACTGAGTATCAAGAATCTGTTAGGTCATACTTGTGCTGTCAGAGTCTTCCTTCAACCTTGAAAGATACGTCTTTTCACTTTTCATCTTTCAGAATCATCCATTAGTTGTTATTTAACATAAAACATCAAAATATAAAGCTTTTATTTCAACTTTTTTTATTTGAATGTTTCAGTATTCAAGATCACCCACTAACAGTTTTCTGATATTCAACTGTGGAAACATCTATCTGGTACCATAATGATAATTTCACTCCCTAGTTGTTTTCAACTTCCAAATTTTCAACTTTTCAATTTTCAAAATAAATTCTCTGCAGTATTGTCTAGATTAGTGAAGCATTTTGATAGCAGAGACATATGGCTTGGTGGACTTTTTCTGACTAGTTCTGCTGGAGATAGATATAAAGTAGTGGTGTGTAAAAGTATATTATATCATATAGTAAATCATTCCACCCTTAGATCTGATTCAATAAAAGCCAATACATAAAAATTTGTAGAGGAATGACAAATGCCATGAGAAAAATGAAAAAAAAAAAATATATCCAAAGAATAATGTAGTGCTGAAGAGGATAAAATCTAAAATCTTAGCTGCAATTCAGAGAGAAAAATCGCTGTTACCTTGACTTGTCTTCTGTAGAGTTTAACTGCTGGTAGGAGTTGTAAATGTACCCCTTCTCTTGCCGTGCCATTTATCTTGTTTCTTGATTTTCCCAAATGGTTTATATTCTGGGAGGCTCCAATGAGATCAGCAAATGAAGCCCCAGATATTTCATTCCTTAGCAGCTTCCTGTCAGATGGAAAATTTCTGGGACATAAAAATCAAATGACAACCTGTGACTCTGAATCCTGCCATGGACAATCAAAAACGGAGTGGGCTAGTGTCAGTAGCCCAGATCCTCCAGTCTCTGCACAGGATGAATTTTCAATTACATGATCTGCAAAAAGAGTGGCTTCCATTTCAGTCCACATGCACACATAACTTATTTGCTTCCATTTAACTGAAAAGAGAGTGCTGCCAGGAAATAAGTTTTTTTTCTAAAGGCAAACAATTTCATGTATTCCATTTGCACTGCACAAGGCATGTGGGAAAAGATTATTACACAATTATCATGTATTGACAAAATCTTATTATGATCAAAACCTCATTTGGCTCTAACCATTAATGATGCCAAAAATCTATCTCTGCATAAACAAAACATATGTGGTTTGATAATAATTATGAGATTTCTACACCATTGAAAATGGTACTTAGTCTACCTTTAAATTTCAGGGAGATTCAAATAGAAACATCTTTTAAAAATTTTTAGTTTTGTGCTCTGTGTTTTTAGATCCTCCTGTGGGAAACAAGTTTTATACAATGTTGCGCATTTTAAAAAGCTCCTGCCTCTCTAAATAATTTCTAGACAGCTGCATAAACCCAGTTTCAATGGTAATTGAAAGGTTTCCTTGGAGTGCTTTAATGATAATGCCATTTGCTAGCATCACATTACATGATAATCACTTTTCCTAGCTTATGCTAGATAATTATATTGTTTAGAATATCTAATAATAGAACAATTTTCTTTTTCTTGCATCTTTTGTTCCTAGACACTGCTAGCACTGAATGCTCCTTGCAATTCCCTGACAAAGATTATGTGTGGTGGGACCTCTTCATGAAAATCTGTGTCTTTGTCTTCGCGTTTGTTATTCCAGTTCTCATTATAATTGTTTGCTATACTCTGATGATCCTGCGCCTTAAAAACGTTCGGCTTCTCTCAGGGTCTCGAGAAAAAGATCGAAACCTGCGTCGCATCACCAGGTTGGTGCTTGTGGTTGTGGCAGTTTTTATTGTCTGTTGGACTCCTATTCACATTTTTGTGCTGGCTGAAGCGTTAGGGGATGTGTCCCACAGTACTGCTGCTGTATCCAGCTATTACTTCTGTATTGCTTTGGGTTACACCAACAGCAGCCTCAACCCAATCCTGTATGCTTTTTTGGATGAAAACTTCAAGAGATGCTTCAAGGACTTCTGCTTCCCCTTTAAGATGAGGATGGAGAGGCAGAGCACCAGCAGAGTCAGAAACACTGTGCAAGACCCGGCGTATATGAGGGAAGCAGATGGGACAAATAAGCCTGTATGACTAGTCGTGGAAATGTCATCTTACTGTCCTCAAGAGAGAGAAGAGTCCAACGACCTGGGAGTCACACAAATTACCACTGCAGTTTGAACTAGACTCCTAACAAAAACCTCCTGAACTTTAGCTCAAATGGAAAGGACCTGGCTGATGATCAGGTTTTGGCACCATGTTTGCTGGTACTTCAGCAGGTACTAACACAAATTTCTGGGAAGAGGATGTAGTGTTGTACCTGATGTTTCTGGATAGTGGAAGTTCTGGCTTTTCCCTTTACAATATGAACTGTCATACTGAGCAACATTGGGTCATAACACTGAGTTATGCCAGAAACTTTTGCCTCGACAGTGACTGCATCTGAACTATGTAGTTTGGTGATTTGATTGGTCTTTTTTACAGTGAAGAGTGTTGTTTAGGTTTCTGCAGAACAATGGCAGAGCTATAATCAACATTGTTCTCAACTAATGTATCTGTAACATTTGTTTGTGTTGTGGAAATCCAAGTTAAGCATGATCTGCCTACACACCAAAAGGATTTTATTGTCTCTGTATGGTAAAGCATTTTAACATTAAAAAATATTGGCCTTTAAGGACAATTATTAGTGTATTTTTGGCACATGTTTAATCACCTATGTGTAATGTTTTCTGTGTGATTTTCCAAGGTGATTGTATATTTATTGATTGTGAGTAGTATACTAAGAATTTTTCAGAGTGTATTTTGAGCAAGACACTAGAAAACTTCAAATACTTCACTTGTTACAAAACTAATGAAAACCTGTGCCATGTTCATTACTGGGGGTGGGGGTGGATGTGGGCAGTTATCACATGCCATTTTCAGTAAAGGATGTAAATGGACATACTTAAAATTAGTGCTGTACTTGTTTTCCTGGACAATTTGTAAGCAGACTAAAATAAATATTTAATGAATTAGAAACTAATGAAATAGCACATTGATTAACTGGATTGATATGAGTAAAATGAAGATTAAATGTACTGGATGTTTTAGTGGTATTTGGTTTGGAAAAGTTCCCATTTTGTTGATGAAATGTTTTCTTTGATACAGTCCTATGAATTTAGTACATTCCTCTGTTCTCCTGTGAAGATGGAGATGCCAGGGCACAGCTACACAAGTTACTGGCTTGCTGAAGGTAAGTTTATGGTAAAACTGAGCCTAACTTTCAGTCTGTAGTCTTTTGCCTTCCTAATCACTATAGAAAATACCACCACTTCTGCTACTGCTGAAGTTTGGAGAAAAGCTCTCATCTTCATTGGAAACAGATTGTCACCAGGTATCTTCCTGGTAACTTTGTTCTTTTTACAAAATCATGAATAAGGTTGGTAACTTCATTGCATGGCAAATTTTATCAAACACACAGCCTGGTTTGGTTCTACTAGTCGAAAAATCCTTTATACACACCATAACAAATAAAGAGATTTGCATTTGTAACTGACAATACAGTTCCTGTGGAAATGCTGGAGAGACTCAACCCTCTCCAGAACTTGCGCATCCTTTATGGTTAATACAATCATGCATGTACAATATTTTACTATCAGGTTGGTAAATGCAGTGTTTCTACACTCACCTTGTGGTTACTCCATCAACCCTGAACAGTCGGAGATGTCCAGAGCCTTTCAGTGGTGCTGCCATGTGGAGCAGACCTGTGAGATTCAGATCATGGAGACAGGTAGTTGAGCACTAGCTGCTCTAATGCAACTATCTTTGTTAATGAAAATATTCAAGATAGTTATTTCTGGACAAATCTAACTTTTTCTGATTCTTTCTGCATGATGAATGAATAGCTGACTTCAGGCTACTTGATTTACTTGGGGAAATAAACAAAACTATATAACTAGTTGAGTCTAACTTTCTATTCTGTCCTATAAACAGTCACAAAAAGAGAATGCTTAAGGTAAAAATTGACAATTCAAGGTATTTAGCAAGTTAGGAGCAAATGAACTGTGAAAGGACTAGACCCTGATGAAATATTTTCATTCTAAATAATCTGTGTTCTTGTTCGTGATTTACTACTTGCATATTTATATCTGTGTTTCAGCAGAGTTGTTATTCTATACATTATGTGCAGTGCTCCACATGGTAAGGAGAAATCAATGTTCTTAACTGGTAAAAAAGAGCTCTATAATAATGCATTTTCTTCTTTTTTGTGTGTGTGCTTGTGATTATGTTTTAGTAAGGAGAACATCTTCCCTATCATAGTGGGAGGAAAATATGAGATCCTAGCAGATTTTATGTGTTATGGAAATGAGACTTGAAAAGTAATATAAGAATATGTTCTAAAGATATCTTTCACGGAACATTAACAGCCAAATTAGTCTGGATGCAGCAGAAAGGAGTCTTGGAGGATTTCTTGTCAAATTAGGCAGCTTACCACACTTCACTGAACAGCAAAGGAAGGTTGGCCAAGATTTTTCTTTTTTTATAGCTGAGAAAGTATATTACAAAATAATATTAGATTTTTGCTCACAGAGTCTGCTTCCAGATGATTAAACTCCCATTGTTTGTTCAGCACTTCCCAGACTGGAATGACTAACTGGCAAAACCAATTACTCTCACAGGAATGTGCACGGTGACTTTGGAAACCTGTATTTAAGCATCATAGAGCACCTCATTTTCTGTGTGACTCCAGACAAATGACTTGCCTTTTCTCCTGTGTAGTTGCCTATCTCCAGGAGGCAGCAAGAGGTAGAGGAAGGATTGAGAGCTGTTCTCACAGCTGTGACTTTGCACTATGTAATTTTTCAGCTTGTGTTTCCTTTGGCTAAGTGCAGGTTATGAAGAAAGGGAGCTGGGTGAACCACGCTACATGCAGATGAAAACAGACATTGAGAGGGGATAAAGATCATCTGCCACCATAGCAGATGGATGAAGATACAGCTTCTGAAGTTGAAAACTAGTTGAAATCTCATAAATAATGTACTTTTATAAATATCACATGTATTGCTAGCACATGAAATCAAAGGCTGTGTCTCAGTCATGGTTCAAAAAACAATTATTCCTGTAGCTGAATCAGAAAGTTGGAAGCATGAAAAACTTCAAGCTTTCAACCACTGTGTTGGGCTTTAAATCAACATTAACAGGAGTGTAAAAAAAAATTCCAGGTATTTAGGACACATAAGGTATTAACATAAAGGAAGCTGGTGTCCAGCTTTGTTCCACGCCCCTGTTCAAATCAGCAGGGCGTTTTGATGGATGTTGCTCTGGAGAGGGTACCCAGGAATTTTATGCTGAACCACAATATCTGATGAGAATGGAAACTAATTAGAAGAAGCTACTTTTCCTTAGGACTGAGAAACTAAAATTTTAAAATGGAATCTAAAATAAGAGCTATTGCTCCAGAAAGTAACAGCCGATGATGCCCTTTGGCATACCTGCCGAGGCATTCTGTATTTGCTGGATAGTAAATAAGTGCTATTTTAGGAAGATAAAAAAGAAAACATGAATATTTTTATAAGGTAGATTCTGGGGAATAAAGAAACACAGCAAAGCTTTACCAAACAGCTATTTTTATCAGCTAATTATAGTTTCCTTACATGTTGATATTCTGTGCTCCATGTTACTCTGTATACGACTTTTGAACACCTTGTTATCATAATGCCAATGCTCTAACCTGACCTTGAATGTTTCCAGGGATGGGCTTCTCCCACTTCCCTGAGTAACCTGTTCCAGTGTTTCACAACCCTCATTGTAAAAAATTTCTTGTCCAGCTCACAAAGCTGTTTATACCAATGGTAACACCTCAAATGTGTTTAGGGAGTTTCAGAAGGGAAATACCCATCTCCTTGATAAGTAAACATTGTCACTGGAACAGGCTGCCCAGGAAGGTCGTGGAAGCATTGTCTGTGGAGGTGTAAAAAAATGGGTGGATGTGATATTTTAGAAGATGGTTTAGTGGTTAGGGGTTGTAGGGTGGATGGTTGGACTTGTGATTTTGAAGGTCTTTTCCAACTTTGATGATTCTGTGATTCTATGATCCTAATATTCTAAGTAAGTCCTGGGACAAAATTGAGAGCTTTAGGGATCTAGATTGTTATTTCCCTGCTAGAAGGAATAGTGGAAATGTCTGCTGCTTTGTACTCCACTACAAAGTTGCACAAAAAGTTGTGACCTCCTGGAGGCGTTAGTGTTTCTTAGTGATTTAATGGTGTGAAAACTTGGTAGTGGAGTAGTGTGTACACAGTACAAGAAAAATGTAGTGACAGTGACGGCAAGAGTCTAAAATCTAGAAGTCATAAAAAACAGGGTATGTGAGCATGTGTGTATTTATGTGTGGGTGTGTGAGAATTTTTTTCTTTTCTGATGAAAAAGTACTTCTCTTTTACATCAAAGAAACAGCTGACCTTCTGATCCATTTCTCCTCAGAGTGGAAATACTCCACAGGACTCCAGAATTAAACATGGATTTAATCTTGATCTAGCTTAGAAATAAAGGCTGCAGGTAAATTCATATTTCATAAAGCATGAAGGTTAAAAGGTTAAGTTATTGTGGATTCATCTCTGTAACTTCAAATGTAATTTTATTCCTAGTGCTTGTTATAAATATTTGCTTGGAGGTATTTCTTCATTGCAGCAAAATAACCTGCTCATCTGTCTCTTCAAGTGAGACTCTGGGAATTTGATAACGAGAATACACAGAGCTTTGATCTCACAGTTTTAGAAAGCTACTACAAAGCATAAGCCAGCGTCTGTGGGTAAAAAGAAATTTAATAGTAGCATCACCACTGTGAAGCTGAAGCCCCAGGGAAATAAAAAAATGCCAGGTGAAAGTGTCTTCCCTTTGGCTTATTCAGGCTGGGAGTACCGACAGAGATGAGTTGCTGGGTGATTTCTGTTCACAAATCCTCTCCACAAACCAGCTGCTAGCAGTGTTTGAGGACTGGGTCTCTATACCCATCCAAAGACAATCTTTTTTAATAGAATAATTTTGTCTTAAAGCAGTCAAGTGTTATAAAATACTGTTTTGCACAAGTTTGGTTCTGAAAGTTGAATTTTAAG